AGTAAGATAGAAGCCCACAGTGGTCCAGTGAGTTGCCCATGTCCTACAGTTAGTAAGATAGAAGCCCACAGTGGTCCAGTGAGTTGCCCATGTCCTACAGTTAGTAAGTAGCAAAACCAGGAAGTCCTCATGATGCAGTGGTTACGCACCCAGCTGCTCACCCAAAGGTTAGTGGTTTGAACCCACCCAACAACTCCTTGGGCAAAAGACCTGGTGATCTGCTCCCATAACAATTTCAGCCTAGAAAACCTTAAACGTGGCTACGCTGTCATGTGCAGTTGCTATGAGTCAAAATATCACAATGGTACTTAATGTCTGTGCTGCTGAGCCCTTTGCTGTACTGTTATAGGTACTGCCTGAATCGACCCACTGCATCACAACAATGCAAGTTCACTCATGCTTTAATCCAGCAATATTGCTGAATACTAAGGTGTTAGTAAATGTACACGACTGATCAGTTTCAAGAAAGGAATAGTCTTATTTTGGTATATAATATTTGCTAAAATGTTAAGATCATTTTTTTTTTCATTTTATGAAGATTCCCATTCAAAATGATTAATATATTTTTGTTTCATTTTGTTATTTAAGTATCAAACACCCAACAATTTGACAACCACAACGCCCAGTCTTTCATATTTACCAAATATGAAAGGATAATTTGAATAACTTGAGTTCTCACTATATGTGAAATCAGGATCCATATTATGTTGAACTGAGCTACCATATTTACTTTCTAACCATATGAGAATGCCAAGAGAGAATGGGGCTACAATATCATTTATTAAAAATACCTACATATAGTTTAATTCTTATGTCAGAATTTAAGGCACTGTCTATAATTCCCTTGTGTACTCTCCTCCATTCTCAAGCAAATAAATGAAATAATATTCAGCGGAAAGAAAATTGAGATTTACTACAAGTACTAAGGAGTCCTGGTGTGGTGCTGTGGGTTAATGCGCCAGACTGCAAAACCATTTGAACTGCAAGGTCCAAGGTTCAAGCTCACCAGCTGCTCCTCGGAAACCCTATACAGGGTTGCTATGGGTCAGAATCAACTCAACAGCATTTAAAAACAACAACAAGGACTAAAAGTATATCAGGGCATTCATGTATCTTGTCTCTAAATTGTCAAGTGTGCTTTTCGTCTTACGCCATTTTGATATTAGTGATGAGCAGGCTGCTTGCTCAGCATTCGGTTTCGTTTTAGAAAAGAAACCTAAATAAAGTAGAAAACCAAACGGCTGTATCCATCCACCATGCAGCAGGGAAAGGCAAGCTCAGGTCTCCAAGAATGCCTTAACCTGCTTTGGGCTGTACTGATACCCTTTCAAGTGAAAGCACTCTCCAGGTATGCCTTCTGCACTTAAAGTTATATATTGTACAGTGGGATCCCAATTAGCAGAAATCAGTGCAGAGAAAAACACGATAATAGCCAGAGAATCTTTTCTTTCAATTGTACAGTGTGATGAAACTGAGTTGCTGCATCTCATGGAAAAACCTGAGATTCAAGAATTGGTTTCAAATTCATGGTTCGGAGCAGCAAAGGGAGTTCTGATAAGGATTTGTGTTCAAAATGAGAACTGTTTCCTTTCATTATTTAAAAAAATATATTTTTTTAAGTTTTTTTCTAAGCCGAAATCTGGCACATGGCTTCTTTCTACAGCTCTGGAGTGGATTCAGCAGTATATTTTCCAGATCAGCACATCAACTTCAGATCTGTGACACCGGCCAAGCAGCCTGAATCAATTAATCTGAAAGCCTCGAAGAGCATGGACCTTGGTAAGTGAGGAGAGGTGACATCCAGGTCAGCTCTGCGGCCCCGCCCATCTATCTCTCAAGCTCCTGCCTTTGTTTTCTAGACTCAGACCTCAGGGAGCTGGGGGACTGAAGCCTGGAGGAGGGAGAGTGGTCATCCTAGCTTCCTGTTTCCTCTGCCACATTTAATTGCAATTACCTCCTTTTTAAAAGTAAGATAAATGATTTATTTTGGTAAAGTGGTCCATGAAATATCCTCCATTTACATGACTTGGAAAAAAAAAAAAATATCTGAGCACTTCTCAAGGATCTAAATGACTCTATAAGTATCTCCAACTCACCTGCTTTTTGTGTTTGTTCTCTGGCCTCTGCCAAGGATTCCATTTCTTACACATATGATTGTTGCAGAGCTTGAAAAGATAATACAGTTAAAGGAATCCTGTTTCAGTTTGCTTCCTTTCTTGTTTTCCTTTCCAAATGTGATGGGTAGGGATGGTAGGAGTGGAGAAGAGTCATCTCTGTTTTGTTTTTGTTTTTTCACTTTAACAAATAGAAATGTGTTCTCTCACCATTTAGGAAGTCAGAAGTCTGAATTCAGGCCACCAGCTGTAAGGGAAGGCTTTCTCTCTCTGTCAGCTCCGAGGGATTTCCTTGTTTCCCTTCGGTATCTGAGTGCCCATAATTCCTTGGAGATTTCCATGTATCTTGAAATCAGTCTTCTCTGGGATCTACAAGGTTCTGACCCTGAGTCCTCCCTGTTCTTTTGATCTTTTCATATGAATGAATCAGTCTTGCCTTCAGTCCTTTTGACTCTAATAGAAGTCTGCATATTTCTAGAAACTAGTTGTTTGAAATTGAACAAATTGTCTTCTATGTTTTCTTTTATTGGGAACCACTAACATACCACCTTAATAAGACATACACATAAGTACATTAAATATGTGTTTTTATATGTTTCTTCAAATACTGATTTGTAAATGCCTATTTAATTGGACTACTGGTGTGGCGCTGTAGGATCAGCCATGGACTGTGAACCACAGGGTTGGCAGTTCAAATTCATCAGCTGCTCCTCAGAAACCCTCTACAGGATCATTATGAGTCAGAACCATCTTGATGGCACTTAACAACAAAAACATTTAATTGGTGAGTGTCCTGGTGTGGCATTGTAGGATAAGTACTGGACTGCTAATCAAAAGTCGATGGTTCAAATCTACAAGCTGCTCCTCATTAGCCCTACGTAGGTCATCAGAACCAACTCAACGGTACACAACAACAACAACAATTAATTGGTAAACTTAATAATAATGTTCTTGTTAAGTGCCAGATTGTTGGCTTCAAGAGTTGTCTCTTTAGATGTCTGTCTCCAACCCTGTGACACTGGAGGGAAGAAGGGGCCCAAGGCTTCCTAGATTCCAGATGTCAAGGTTCCCTATGCCAATGCCTGAACAAACTCCTTGAAGTTATGAGTCCCAAGGAAATTTCTGAGAGCTCCCTGCAAACCTGAGAGCTGTGCTCGCTAAGCTCTGGGACATGGAACTCAAAAAGACATCTGTGATGCCCAAGAATGATGTTGCCCCCCCCATGGAATCCTGGAGAGAGTGAGAACTACTGGAAACCAGTGTGGGTGTAAAATAAATTCTTAGCAAAATATTCATTGCTTTCTGAATGTGCAAAGACCATGCTTTGTAATATTTTTTTTCCTTGAAGCATATTACATATTTCATTAGTAGCAACAAGAAAATAGAATAATCAAAACTGCCTGCTTCATAAAACAATCTGATAAATAGTGCTTATCTGCTATTCATTTATAGGAGTTCAGAAAAATGTTCAGGCATGACGAAACAAGAGAAATTGATTCTGTTTTCTATAAATTACCTAGATCACTTGGATGCATTTGCTCTAATCACCTAGAGTGAGAAGCTGGTAAAATACCTCAACAAGCAAACTCTACTGAGCTCTGGCCAGAGAAGAGTATTTTCTCAAGCATGAACCTTTGACAAACCAAAGAAACAATGTGTGACAGAGACTTAGGTTATTGCTAGTAATTGAAGGAGCAATTTGTTTTTATAGACTGCTTTATAAATATAAAATAGTCTGTCTTCCTCATTTGCCTGTGAGGAAGATGAATGTATGAAAACTGTTCTTAATTTCGAGGGATGGAGAAAATACATTAGTGTTTTCCTCATTTAAGTAAAAAATAACAGTAGTATGGTTCTAAAACTGTCTGCAGTAGAAAATAATAGCATGAATTTTTATTTCACAGAAAGAAAAATATCAAATTCATAAAAGAAAAAAAAAGCTTAAGGCAAGTCCAGTTGTATTTCTGCTCACATCTTTCTTATAACTGAAAACTTGGCTTTTGATAAGTTTCCTCTCTTAATTGAAATATCAGTTGTCTTGAGTTGATTCTGCCATAGAGTGACCCTAGAGCATAAGGTAGAACTGCTCCACAGGGGATTCCAAGTCTGTAAGCTTTAGGGAAGCTCCTGGTAGGTTTAAACCTCTGACCTTTAGGTTACCAACTGAGCGCTTATCCACCGAGCCACCAGGGTTCCCAAATGGAAATTGCGTTTGCTTTTGTATGGTTTGCAGTCACCCACTGCATTTCATTGTATTGATCATATGAATGACAATATTAATAGTGATGTTTATACAGTTTTCAGAATGTGGCCAGCCTTGATCTATTTTCTTCAGGACACACTTGCTAAACTGAAGCATTGACTAAAATACGCTCGTTAGCAGAACGCTCAATAATATGTTTTCAAAACACTTTTCAAGGAACCACCCAAGTTCTGCTTGTGTGTGTGGGTTCCCCGTTTAAAGTTAATAGTCTTGCAGAAGACTCTGAGAGTCAGCATTCTAGGGTTCTTCTAATCCCTTCTCTCCACAACAGTCACACAAGCTTAATACATGTAGTGGCTTTCTCAGTGAATAACTTAAATAATACCCCAAATGTAAGTATTAGGAAGTCTTTCCTGTTTGATTAGGTGTGTGGTTCAATTTTCAGATGTAGCACTGGGTGAATATAAGAAAATAATTTATTTGTTAAAATGATTGGTGACTTTTTAACAAAAGATTGGACCGATCCTCAGCAGCATGAAAGTGTATTAAGTATAAATCTAATTCCTGAAGCATTTAAAATAAAAATTCAAAATGAAGTCTTTGGCAACTTCAATCTTTTCTCCATATATCTTAATGTTGTTTACTGGACCAGTGGTGAGGATTTTTGTTTTCTTTACGTTGAGATGCAACCAGTACTGTGGTCTTTGATCTTCATCAGTTTAAATATTTTAAGTATTGTTCAGTTTCAGCAAAAAAAAACAAAAACAAAAAACAAAAAACGTTGTGTCATCTGCATATCACAGGCTGTTAATCAGTCTTTCTCCAATCCTGATGCCACATTCTGCTTCATAGGATCCAGCTTCTTGGAATATGTGCTCAGCCTATGTAGTTAATAAGGATGGTGAAAGAATACAGCCCTGGTGCACACTTTTCCTAATTTAAAACCATTCAGTGTTCCCTGTTCTGTTTGAGCAACTGCCTCTTGGTCAATGTACAGGTTCCCATGAGTGTAATTCAGTGTTCTGGAATATTCATTATCTGCAATATTGCCCATAACTTGTATTGATACACACATTCTAAAGCGTTTTTGTAGTCAATAAAGTTCAGGTAAATATCTTTCTGGTAGTCTCTGATTTCAGCCAAGTTCCATCTGACATCAGCAATGATATCCCTAGTTCCATGTCCTCTTCTATATCCAGCTTAACTTCTGGCAGTTCTGTAACAATGTATAGCTACAGTTGTTTTTGCATTATCTTCAGCAAAATTTTACTGACATGCAATGTTAATGATATTGTCTGATGATTTCCACATTCTGTTGAGTTACCTGTTTTAGGAATGGGCATAAATATGGATCTCTTCCAGTCAAGTGGTCAGGTAGCTATCTTCCAAATTTCTTGGCATACATGAGTGTTTCCAGTGCTGTGTAAGTTTGTTGAAAGATTTCAATTTGTATTCCATCAATTCTCAGAGTGTTTTTCTTCATCAGTGCCTTCAGTGCACCTTGGACTTCCTCCTTCAATATCATTGACTCTTGATCACATGCTACCTATTGAAATGGTTGATGATCAACCATTTCTTTTTGGTACAGTGACTCTGTGTATTCCTCCTTCCATATTATTTTGATGCTTTTTGCAGCATTCAGTATGTTGCCCTTTGAATCCTTCAATATTACAAATTGAGCCTTGAATTTTTTTCTTCAGTTCTTTCAACCTGAGAAATAGTGAGCGTGTTCTTCCCTTTTGGTTTTCTAACTCCGGTCCTTGCACATTTTGTTATAATATTTGACTTAGTCTTCTTGAGCTACGTTTTGAAATTTTCTATTCATCTCTTTTACCTCCCCATTTCTTCCATTTGCTTTAGCATCTCTACTCTGCAGAGTTTCTTCTGACATCCAGTTTGGTGTTTTCCTTCTTTCTTGTCTACTTCTTGGCCTTTTTGGTTCTTCCTATATGATTTTCTTGATGTCATCACACAATTTTTCTGGATTTTGGTCTTTAGTGTCTGCATCAAATCTGTTCTTTGGATGATCTCTAAATTCAGGTGGGATGTGGTCAATGTCATATTTTGACTCTTGTAGACTTGTTTTAATTTTCTTCAGCTTCAGCCTGACCTTTCATATGAGCAATTTATGGTATGTTCCACAGGTTCTGCCCCTGGTCTTGTTTCAGCTGATGGTATGGAGCTTTTCCATGATCTCTTTCCACAGATGTAATCAATTTGATTTCTGTATATTTCATCTGGTCAGGTCTTTGTGTATCTTTATGCTGTTTAAAAAAGGTATTTGTGATGAAGAAATCATTGGTCTTGCAAAGTTCTATCATGCAATCTCCAGCATTGTTTCTGTCACCAAGACCATGTTTTCTAATTACTGATTCTTCCTCTTTGTCTCCAACCTTTGTATTCCAATCACCAGTCATGATCAATACATCAGTTTTGCATGTTTGATCAATTTCAGACTGAAG